CTCTTCCGATCTATTAGCAGTTAGCGAGATTTTATAGGCGAAAATAGAAAAAGGGTATTACATTTCGCGAAAGCCACTGGAGCGACATTTTATTTTCTATAAAAATCTGAACTACGACTTTCGAAACAAGTTAACATACGGTATATATACTGTCTGTAGTATACGTTAGTCCGCAATGTTTTTATCCATCTTTTTTGCCGGTAACAAGACAAAATGCAAACTGTAGCTTAACACTAAGGCTATTATTAAATAAATTCTTATCTATGTCGATATATGAGCTGTACATGTTGTTGATCATATTTATCAAACATTTTATGACTCAGATTTTTGAGTGGGGTATTTAATTTCGCGTGCCGGTGTAAATTTTTGACAATTGCGAGAATCGCGAAATTAATGTTACGTCAAATTAAGTACGAAAAAGGTACACTCAACCATGTCTATTCCAGATTCCAGCATTCTGATTGGCTACTCGATCAACCATAACCATGACATGACGGACCACGGTCGAGCAAAAAGATGGCGGAAAACTTTTTGCAAAGTTTTTGGGGGAATTTTGTGAAATACTTGGAAGTATTGTCTGAATACTTTAAATGACAAGGAGAAAAGCATGCAAATATTGAAAGAATTCATACAAACGTTCCTGCATGCTTTTAAATTCTATTTATAGCTTTCCAATTGTGCTTGCAGTTTGTACTTTGAGTAGTAGTGTATACTAAAACAATTGGGCAACGCCTTCGTTGATTATTCGCTTCCTCTATACGCCTTCGTTGATTATTCGCTCGTAGATAACTCGACCTCGTTGTCTAATTGTTAATTGTCCCGTGTTACGACAGAAGGAAACCACAATACTGGTAAAGTTTTATTTGTACTTCATAAAAAGGAAACATTTTCACTTACATTGGTAAATAGCTCCAGTGTTGGCTACCCCAAATAGGACACCATCAGCAATCGAAATATCTTGAAACTGCTTACTCAGCGCTACTCTCACCCAACTCTTTCCTTGAGGGGTTGCTGCAGACACACCTTGTCTTTCGAAGAGGTATCCATTTGCATTGATACCCCACACGCTGCCATCATCACCAGCCTTGACAGTTGTTAATACAGCATCTTTAATCATTTCCCATTTAACATCACTAGTGCTTGTCTGTTCGAGACTGACCCGGAACCAAACTCTAGTGCCAGTTTGGCCAATTCCCCAACACCCAAGCCCTCCACAAGAGAGCTGTTTGAGTTTACCCATTTTAGTATGCCAACCAAAGCCTTTGGGGTTCAGAGTGTTCACACCACCACGGCATAATATGAGATGGTTTTTAGTCACCACACATACTCGTCCTTTACCACTAACGTCGATTTGAACAGCAGCATCATTCTCCAACGGAATTTTATCAATCACACTCCAGCTTGTTCCCTTGGGTTCAGAGGCAGTAATCCCCTCACGGTAAAGTACATTGCCCTTGCTATCTACAGCCCACACTTCAGAACCTCCAACGCTGATGGATATGATCTTACGCGCATCTGCAACATATTCGAACTTTCCGTTCACTATAGCGTACACCCTGTCTTGACCATCACGACCCCAGGCAACGTCCTTTGCGCCAGCTTTGATCTCAGCGAGAGAACCAGGGATGACTTTCCAGTTGATAACCACTTGAACTGTAAATGAATGAGAGACTTGAGAAGAACCTCAACATAGGGTTCATGTTAAACTACCACTCAGTTTCTCTAAACTGTTCTCCCTAGAGGCCTCTGAAGGGCCATGTCTTGCATATCCAATCCAAGCCATATCCAAGCTTTATCAATTCCAAACTGTCCTCCCTGCCCTGTGCTCCCTGCCCTTGTATGTTAAAAAAGGCCCTGGGAAGAAGCCTATAGTGCTGCATAGTGCATTCAGGAGATCATAATTTCTATATGAACATAAAATATTTTACCTTTCAATTCTCCTGGTCCTGCAGGTAGACTTCCTGTCGCAGGTTTTGTAGCTTTTAATTGAAAAATAAAATTTTAAAAAGACATTATGAATTTCGCGAGGGATTTTTTGGTAAGGGTATAGCTCAAGTAAAGAACTAATCCTGTCTATGTAGTCATAACCGGCTTCACACAGCGATTAAATATCGTGGGTCAATCGTACTGTATATTTATGTGGAATATGGAATTAAGTTACATACTACTGTAAGTTTAATGTATTATAAAAGGTAATATATCAAGCTTCCTACATACCTGGTTTGTCCTCTTTTGGTGTAGCTGGGAGCCCTTTAATAAGAGGAAAATGGAATATAGTTCGACAAACATGAGTTACAGTTCTAATATCTGGAAATGGCTCATTGGCATACTGAGAAATTATTCCACCTTAAAGCGCATCTTAAAAATAGAAAAAACTAACACGCAATCTTACTTATATAAAGATATTTTCCTGTCATGGGTTTTTCTACATCTCCACTGGGATATTTCACACCAACACTGACGTGATCTTTCCCTTCGTGTTCTTTAAACAAAGCTGTTAACATGTACGGTGTACCAAATTTGAGTTCTACCTCTTTTGAAGTCTGCTTCTTCACATCTCTGAAAACATCAAAGAGTAAGGAAACATGTGAAAAAAAGAAAACACTAGAGTATATAAAAAAACGAAAACACTAGAAAACAACGAAAACACTAGAACAGAGTATATAATGACTACGAAAACACTAGAGTATATAATGACTTTCACAAGTTGTTGGAACACCTGCGGTTTTAGATCGCCAGTCTATCTATGCAACTTATTACACACATTTATATTTTCCTCCACCATCCCAATCAATGCTGTCTCCCTAATCCAGAGACTATAGCATACCAGAGTAAGGTTGTTCGTTGGGCGGAACATTGAATCCCTAGGTTGAATCAAAACTGTAGAGTTTCCGGCATCTGTCCCAACACATTTGAAAATGATTGTAGATTTTTCATCAGTGGAATGTAAAACCACTGACAAAAAGTAAGGGCGTGTTCATACTGTATAGGCCAAACTGCCAGAGGAACAGGCTTGAGTAAAATCTGAATGTCCTCGCTAAAGCATAAAATTTTTTGTGTACATGTTCATACGGCAAAAGAGAAAGCCAAGCTAGGTTAGATGGCAACGAACGATAGTAAACAAAGTTGTTTTTCAATTTGAAGACGACAGTTTGAAACCAAATCTGTTGCAAAACCCTGAATAAATATCTGCTGTATAAATTCTATATTAAGTTGTAAAAATATATCCATCACTTAGGACATACTTGTCCCACTGCTGGTAACCAGTTGCCATATGATATAATTCCAGTAGTTTAACTGGAGTTCCACTGTCTGTCATAGAAATAAATAGTTGACTGTCATCATCACTGGAGATGTAGAATGTGTATTTACCAGAGGCCGGTGGCTAGAAGGTGTAAGTAATACAGCGTTAGTGAGTAAATTTTAAACAAACCATGCATAACACTGCCTGTGACACGCGTAACAGGTTTTTTAGAACGTTCGGTTATGATTTCAAGTCCTAAGAACACCAAATGCGCAAACGAAAGAAATCAATTAATATTGACTAAACCTTATTTCTAAAATGGTTAGGGTTTGGGGTTGTAAGATTTCAGTCGATGTTAATTGATTTATTTCATTTGTATTTTTAGTGTCCATAGCTTTTACATTTATATATTCAATTTATAAACTAGGTTACACTGAGCTGACTGTATTTAAACTGGATAGCTCTATCAGTTCTAAATCGTTCTGATTAAGAGGTCCACCCACAACGTACCATAAAATAAGTACGTAATCTCGCGCCGTAATGATCGCCTTTGTCCTGTGGTGTTTCAAACGTTTGTAGTTTTTGCACTTCATCAGGAGCCTTTGGGTATTTTGGATTGCTAGTCAGCTTCGCCACTTCTAATCCAGGAATGTCTGTGAAGTATTCCACAACGACACCATGTTCGGCTAAAGAAGAGGAATGAAAAAAGAAGAGGGTTAGGTCATATACTACTTTCAGAAACCAAAATACTGTAAATGTCACCTTTATCTGCTTCAATTGATTTTAGTGCTTGGTCTTCAGCCTTGGTTGCTGTATTTCAAAATAAGAAAATGTCTGTCAGACTAGCAATTAACTTTACATATATACTGGATAGCTCTACTATCTTAAATCATGAATAATTGATAAGCGGTAACAACTGTGATGGCAATAGACAAATTGATGTTAGACTAATTTTTGATCTAGGCAAAAAAAGTAAATTCCCGTAAAGAACTTATTAAACTAATAAAATTGCAAAATTTGGTTACGAAATGTAAAATATGGAAAATATAGCCTTGCGAAGTTTGCATATTTTGTATATGTTTGTATTACGTGCAGAAATTATTACCATTTTTGAGCCGAAAATGGTAACAATTTCCGCACATAATATACAAACAAATATACAAAATTTGCAAACTATGCAAGACTATATTTTCAAAACTTTACAACATTTTGCAACCAAATTTTGCAATTTTACTATTTTCATTATGTTCTTTTTAGCTGTCATGGTGTTTGATTTCCTTCTCTTTACTTAGATTAAAATTTAGTCTAACATGCAAATTGTCCATTGGATATTAGATCTTGATTAGCATATAATTTCATCATCTTTGAACTTAAATTTCTCTTAAAATACTAATTCACTTGCGAATTTGAGATATCCGAAATCCTAATATTCGGACTTTAGCCGATATCCAGTCCTTGCAATTAGTTAATTAGGTAAAAGCGTTAATTAAGCATGCGAAAGGCTGATTTTTTAAGAAAAAATGAATAGTTACTAAAGCAAATTGTCTGAAATTTTGTACAGCAATTAAAAACCCAACACATAGTCCATCCATTAGCTCAAAATACGATTAAAGCTCTTAAATTTCGTTCGCAAGTCATTTTTAGTTTGTTGGAAAAGAAACACCCCCTGGTTTACACAATTTGAGTTCGAGTAAATAGCACCCTGTATATAGTGGGGCGGATAAGTGAAAGTGTTGTGCATTTTGTGAAGAAAGCACCATATTGACAGGATGTGTAGACTTTGACACAAGTATGAATATCAGATATGGAGGCATCTGTGAGATTAACGCTAATGGCCAAAAATTTGGAATTTCTGACATTTCATTATAAATGTCTGTTACTGCTCGAAAGTACTTCACAAAAAAGAGGTTCTATGGTGAAAAGTAGGCAAAAAATGTCTGTAGAACATTAAAGCAGTTTTTGATTTTCCAAATATTTCCTGAGCTGCAACCTGTTAAAAAAGGCGATTTGAAGCTAGTGCCAGTCTTTGCACCTACTTTTTATCTATTGTGTGCAATTTCAAAACAACTGATTAACTTAAAAACGACTTGGCAAATCAAAAACTACTTTAATGTTCTATAGACAGTTTTTGTGTACGTTTCAACCATACAGAGCTACCTTGGAATTTTAAAATTTCTATCAGTAATAGAAACTTATACTAAAATGTCAGAAATTCAAAAGTTTTAGCTATGAGCGTTAATTTCACAGATGCCCTGCACCATAACTGATATTCATACTTGTGTCAAGTCTACACATACAGTCAATAAGGTACTTTCTTCACTAACTGCACAATTATTGCAAAATTGTGCGCTTATCCGCCCCACTAATACAGACAAGCATAAAAACCTTGCCACACACAAATTATCAAAGAAAACTTGCTGTTCTGAGACCGGCTTAATTGTTAACTGGTTCATGAATATGTTAAACCATGCATACAGTACTGTACCTGTCAAGTAAACTTTGGCAAGTGCCTGGCGCGTGTAGTAATTGGGATTTTTCTTCGCCGTATCGTACGCTGTTTGTTCCGCAACTAATGCATCGGGAGAATAACATCGCCATTTGAATTTTGAGACTTTCTTTCCTCGGTCGAAAAGAGCGATCAAGTTGCTGCCTGCATTTTTTATGTTTGTGACGCACCACTTGTTCAAATTGTGTTGAATCTCATTGCTCAACAAAGATGAGGCTGGAAGAAAACAAATAGAATTTTAGTATGGCTGTAACCTCCGTTTTCTGCTTGAAGAAGATGTTTAATCTAATATTTAAGGTTACTTCACACGATGAACGTGCGTTTTAGTCCATTGGACATTGCTCAACGAATTTTAGGTGTAACTTTACCAAATTTTCAGTGAAGAAAGCCAGGAAAATGCTGATTTCGAAAATTTTCATTTGATGGGTGTTCTGTTTAAACATTTTCAGTATTGGCTGACTGAGTAAATATGTAGGTACCTTCATAAAAAAATCAAAATATGCTTATAATTTACCTCAACGGTTGTCTAGATATCGCAGTTCAAATCTTCATAGGCATGGTAAAAAAAACGTGTGCGGAAAATTTCTCTTCTTTAGTGGTCTTTCTGATATGCCCTGATTCTTGGATTTGTCACTGATAATTCACGAAGTTGTCAAAGAAAAGGTCATATCAGAAAAACCGTTGAAGAAGAGAAATTTTCCGCACACGGTTTTTTTACCGTACCTATGAAGATTCAAATCGATATATGTAGACAAACGTTGAGGTAAACTATAAATATATTTTGATTTTTTTATGGGATACTTATGTATTTCTTTAGTCAGCCAATACTGGACATGTTTAATCAGAACACTCAGCAAATGAAGATTTTCGAAATCAGCATTTTATTGGCTTTCTTCACTAAAAATTTGGTAAAGATACACCTAAAATTTGTTGCGCCATGTTCAATAGACTAAAACGCACGTTCATCATGTGAAGTAACGTTAATCATATGATAAATTTCAATGCCCAGCATAATATACGTAAAGGAGCCAGCACAAAATGAAATTTAAAAGATATACTGTATTTATAAACTTAAGTTTCGTTCACTCAAGACATCTTCAGAGTAAGGAATTAGGATATTTACAGGGGCGTAACACCTGGGGGGTATGGGGGTGCAACCCCCCCCCCCCCGATGTTCTAATATTTCAGTTTTGTTGGGCAATTTCACCGGGCAAAAAATATGTAATTCAGCGGGAAATTTTACATAATTTTTTGAAAAGTAATAATTGTACCAAGTTACGATATTTAACAATTATATCATGAGCTCGAGTCGTATATATGAGTTGATAGCCGACGAGGTGCGTAAGGCGAGAGGATATATTATAGTCTTATAGCATATACCTTAATAATTTTATAGCTTAATTCACTAACTATATGAAGATGTCTGAGTAAAAAACAAAACGCTGGTTCATAACTAAATTTTCAAAAATTTCATGTCGTGCACTTCACATATATTATGCCTGGCATTGATAAAGATCCCCGCTTGGTTCATCCCTCACAAATAATTTTATTCACACTGCCGCTGGATAGCTCTAATAGTTTTGTCCAAACTGTTCTTCCCAAGGGTCCAGTGATGACCATTGCTTTTTACTACAGAAGGAAACCTTCTCCATGCATGGGAGAAACCCATGAGAGAAAACTTTCGCTGCTTGGCAGAGTCGACAAAGTCTTGTTGGACGATGTGAAATAGCTTGAATCAAGTCATTTTTTTGTGTTGTGTATGCAAATCAACATTTTCTCATTTACTAAGTTATATAGACAATCTATTATACCAACAACAATCAGTGACGTGACTTTGTGCTAAAGGGCATTTCCTGAAGTACTGCAACTTCGCCATTTTGTCATCCTTGCTGAGGGAAGAGTCTGGAAACAAGATTGTCCTTGCTCAAGGCCTTAATTAATTAATTTAAATTAATTAAACTTGGAATCCAGAGGACTTATGCCACTGCGTGTACATTGGAGAGGTTCAGATTTGACTTTTAATAAAAATAGTAGTGTCGCAACCGTAACGACTAAATGGAAAACAGCTTCTCAAGAATGTACTTACGTTGATTCAAAGTAACAGCCAAGGTAGATACGGCCTGTTTTCCACCATTATTATTTCCATCTTGAAGCCATTGCTCAACTAGGTACATGTAAGTCTTGCCAACTCTTACATCTTTCACAGATAACTATGGAAAAAGAAATCGTTTGTGTATATAAGTTTCAATAGAAAATAGCAGACAAACGTAAAGTATTAAGCTTGTTACTTACTGCAGCCAAGAACCAACTTGGATTGACTTTAGAATTATCTTGACGTATTCGTAAGGAACGGATGTCACCAATTTCACCAACATGAATACGGAATGCATCAGTTCTGAAATAACAATGTTGAAATTTGTCACCTATGAAATCATTGCACACAATGTTTTATCACAATGTCATCGCACTGTAATATTTTACCACATGGAATCATAGTATACCATATCATAACACACCATAGTATACCATAGTATACCATACCATATATTATACCATTCCATACTACACCATACCAGCGCTACACCATTCCACAGTGATACACTACAGTGATACAATATCATACTTTATCACCTATAGAAAGAAATACAGCCATACCCTCCTTGCTGAAATGGAACTGAACCAGCTTTAGACAGTTCAACTTCCCTTGAGTCACCATTAGCACCAGTAAATTTGATATACACTTTTGCATTGGTACTTGCATCTTTGACATTGCCAGTATGCGTTGTTACAATATATTCACCCACTGCAGAATGAAAGATTAAAAATATTTTAATCAAAGGAAATAAAATATTAAAAAGTTTTAAAATATAAATAACAAATGTTTTTGGCTTTCATCTTGCAAGAAACAAATTTGCTTTAATTTCATTTTTCGGAAAAATTTAGGTCATCGCAATTGGATAATGACGTCAGCCACATGTGCCATGCGTCTCATCAGCCTAGACCTAGGATCAACGTGCTTGCATTTATCTTGTATCTGACGTCATACTCACCAAATGCTAGCTCAAAATTGACCAAACCTGCTAAAATCTGAGTAAAGGTCTTAGGTCTAGGCTGGTGTCTCACTAGATAACGTAGTAAAAATACGTTTCAAACCTGTCGCGGAAGGTCCAAAGGGAACAAAGGCACTCGCAAATGAAGGTCCTTGCTTACTTTTCTTTTGACTCTAGTCATGAAAAGAAACAAAGCATTTTTCATATTTTATTCTGGAACGCTCTATCAGATATACAGGATAGTTCTGTCTGTTCTTCATAAGAGGTCCAGTTAGAGCAATCTCTAATTTCCACACCTTCTATTTAATTATGTTAATTATGCTCTAACAATTTTTTCTCAAGAGGACTATACCGTAAAGAAAAGAACAATTTACTTGCGTAATCCATTTCGGTGTTTCTGCTCCTTTGTAGCCAATCAGAGCAAAGGAAGAGCGATCCTCACTGATGATAGGTTCTCGTGCTCCAATCTTTTTCAGCTCCCCCAAAGCATTACCAATCGTTCTGGCGCCATTATCTTGCACGGCCACAACAACAACACGACTTCATACGAAATTTTAGATGTTTAGTTTATGTGGCAATTTAATTTGTTTCTATAGTACTATAAATTTGTTTCTATAGTACTATAAATTTGTTTCTATAGTACTATAAATTTGTTTCTATACTACTATAAATTTGTTTCTATACTACTATAAATTTGTTTCTATACTACTATAAATTTGTTTCTATAGTACTATAAATTTGTTTCTATAGTACTATAAATTTGTTTCTATACTACTATAAATTTGTTTCTATACTACTATAAATTTGTTTCTATACTACTATAAATTTGTTTCTATAGTACTATAAATTTGTTTCTATAGTACTATAAATTTGTTTCTATACTACTATAAATTTGTTTCTATACTACTATAAATTTGTTTCTATACTACTATAAATTTGTTTCTATAGTACTATAAATTTGTTTCTATAGTACTATAAATTTGTTTCTATACTACTATAAATTTGTTTCTATACTACTATAAATTTGTTTCTATACTACTATAAATTTGTTTCTATAGTACTATAAATTTGTTTCTATAGTACTATAAATTTGTTTCTATACTACTATAAATTTGTTTCTATACTACTATAAATTTGTTTCTATACTACTATAAATTTGTTTCTATAGTACTATAAATTTGTTTCTATAGTACTATAAATTTGTTTCTATACTACTATAAATTTGTTTCTATACTACTATAAATTTGTTTCTATACTACATATTACTATAAAAAAGCATATTCAGGCAGCAATCTTTTTAAGGGATACAACTACCTGAAAAATATATCCGGAATTTAGACGTTTCGAGTGAAGGCCTACTAACTACGCGACGAAGGGCCATTTATCCCCGAGCCAACGGCGCGGAGCGCTGTCCGGGCGTAAGCCCGGGGCGAGGGTACTAATTCAGCCCGGCTATTTACACCCAGGGAAACGAAAGCATTAGCGAAGTCTAAAGTTCATAAATGATCGCGGACGTGGGTGACCAACGATGTTGAGTGGGTGGTCATCCTCACTGATCTCAAAATATGGGGCGGATTGTCATGAATAGCGAACACTGATTGGTCAAATTTAAAATTTGTTGTTGTATAACAAATGACGACAGCGAAATAACAAACATTTCTTGCAAATCAGCAAATATATTGTGTTTTTGCCTCGGGTTTTGCAAGATTTTTCAAATTTCAAAACCTTTTTGAGAGCCAAAAACCGTCTGAAATAATAACATGCCTGGCATGTATATGTTTGCATGGAAATTGATCATTTTGTAATTAAAAGTGATATTTGGGGGGGATTTTTCAATTTTAAAACTATTCTTAAAATTATCGTGTTACCATGACAATACTTCATGTTTGGAATTCAGCAAGGCGAGGGTTTCTGCATGCATGTATTTTCTAGTATTATTCAGGTAATATCGCTACCTAAAGGCATCATTGGAAAAAGTATATTACATACCCATTTGGAATTGTGTTGATAAAGTTAGTTATCTTGCCACTGGCTCCACTGTCTCCATTAGTATCAAATACTTGTGCCCCTTCAAACTTGCCTGAATCGCAAACAAATAAATTTACACAAGTTCAATAAGGGACAAATCTCTAAGGCTTTCTTTAATGCTTCAAAGAAGACTTGCGATATTTGGTAGATCCTACCTATATTTATACTTTAGCTCTATCACTCAGTTTTAATTTGTTCTCCCTAGAAGTCCGGTAGGGTCCATCCTTTAATTATCCAATTTTACTACTGAAGGAAACCGGAATACGTGGCAGAATCAAACACTTTTTCAGATGTGGCTGTTTTTAAACGTAACTAAAGTACCTATCTAATGGAACTTATATTAACTCTAAACTGTTGTCCTATCATTATGACCAGTCAGGGACATACCCTAATCGATTAGTGTTACCACAGACAAAACCTGAAAAAGTTGTGGTGTTTGGAAAAAAAAATGGAAGCAAAAATTCGTTTACATACCACTCTTTCCACATACGACTGAATACTGCATGCAGCAAATACACTTAACAAAAAAGGAATTATAATTTACACTAAAGTTTTGTCATCATCCTACCTGTCAGAGCATTAATGACCACAAAGTTATGCCCACGTTTCTGAGGTGCTTTCTGATCTCCATCAATATAGATATGCGCCAGACCACAGCCTTCTGATCTTATCAAGTCACTACACCCTTCACTTATCACTTCAATGTTTGGAAACTCTGGAAAGAAAGTTTAAAATCACAGATAGAAATATTTTTATTATGTATAATCGTTTGGTGGATTTATTTCATATTCACATGTTAAAATTTTATATACATGATAAAACTAGTTTGGAAATAAGGAAATTAAATTTGAAAGAAAATAGTAAAAGAAAAACGCATACTAAACCTCCAAACGGAATTTCAGTGGAGATCTTGCTTGGTCCTTTATATCTGTCTCGCTGTTCCTATAAACACAGTTTTACCATATTACCTAAATCTTAGCATACAACACCAAAACCTAATTTACTACATCTAATTTACTATACCATACATAATACGTCTGTTCACAATATCACCACGCAATATTATACATACTATACCACACAATATTATACATAGGCCTACTATACCACATAATATTATACATACTATACCACACAATATTATATACATACTATGCCATACAATATTATATACAAATAATGAATGTTTATGAGTGCAATGGTAAGAATATTTTCATGAGGTGAAAGATGGAATGTTCCATTCAACGAGGCGACAGCCGAGTTGAATGGAACATTCTATCTTTCACCGAATGAAAATATTCTTACCATTGCACGAAGAAACATTCATTATTTGTTTTATATAATACCAAAATAGACTAATAGATTCGTATGAGAAGCATTTTGACGGATGCGATTTATCGAAAACACAAAGAGTGCAATGGAATAAAACGTATAGTACAATTGCACTCGCAAGAGTGCAATGGAACGTATTCCATTGCACTCTTGGGAAATGGAATTTTCTATTCAATATCACGTGACCATAAACAGCCAATTAAACGATCAGAATTCAATAAGGTATTATATAATATACATCTATACCATACCATATGGGACCATCTATACCATACCATATGGGACTACATAACACAATTCAATACCATACCAAGCCACACTACACCACATATTATGTGCCATGTCATACCATACCAAGGGCATACTAAACCAAGGGCATACCAAACCAAGGGCATATCATACCATACCATACCATACCACACCACACCACACCACACCACACCATACCATATCATATTATACAAATCTACATCACACGATTGCTTATGTGACTACATACTTGTTTAATCCAAGGCGGTCGCCCAGGTCCAGTATAACCAACTAAAGCATACGAAGAACGAAAACGGTCTTTCAATATGACAGTTTGTCCGCCAAGTTTATCAAAAATGGAATAATCTGCATTTGTCATTTTCAATGACGGTTCGTCTTGCGCAGCAACGAGCACAACTTTCCTATAAAGAGCAGCAATATATGTTTACCTATTGCTCACTTCAGATCGTGTTAGGTCGTCAGAATACTTCGCTATCCTGACAAACTAGCACGATTTATACTAGTGGTAGTCTATAGGAACAAATCAAGCCTGACATATTCCTGATAGATCATCAAATGGCGCAGACCGACTGAGGCCTAGTTCAAACGTCGCGCTTGTCATGTGGCCGAACCTAATAAGCATTAAGTTCGGCATAATTGGAAGATTGATTCAATTCAAACTTCGAACTTAATTGAGACGAAATTTATGCATGGGGTAAAATTGTTTAGGATGGAGCTTTTCACGGTCATCTACGTTACATTGGACACATGCTAAATTCGACGTTTGAATTGATATCGCGAACTAAATATATTAAGCGCGAATGTCTTTGCCGAACTTAATAAGTCTTAACATTGGTGTCAAACCTAAAATCATTAAACGTCGCGCTTATCATAATCCAAACACTTGGTTCAGAACATAATAAGCGCGACGTTTGAACTGGTCCTGATCATCCATTAAGAACAACTACACTTATCCACACAAGAATTATCAAATGAACTATTTTTCTTTTCAAAGTTCGTCTAGACAGACAATCATCATTCTCTATAAGTCTTTTCAATCATTTTCAAAGTTTTTCAGGTAGTTCAGATACCAAACCCTGCAGCTTATTGTAGAATATACTACCTAATCTGAAACTCTAACGTATACAGTTAACATGTGTCATACCTTCCCGGCAACTGGTTAACGAAACTTCTCATTCCATCCACTTCACTTCTGTGTTGGTGAGTATCGAATTTTTTATATGTTTCAAATTTGCCTAATGATGGAAAAGACAGAAGTACAATTTCAAGATCTGGTTGATTAGTCCCCCTTTCCGTCCGATTGATTCAGCAAGGGATAAGTGTTGAATTTTGTCTAGAATATCTATTGTTTTGTTTTAACACCTTTACCACTTTAAAGTGGGTGGAAAGCCTTAACAGATTTTACAACCCAATGGACCATTTGCATTATAGACTAAATTTTGATCTAAACAAGTCTAGACAAAAATTTCATCACAGCTTGAAAGAGCATCACAAAATTAGTAATATTCCAAAGTTTCGTTGCAAAATGTTGTAAAATGCGGATAATATAGCCTTGCGAAATTTGCAATTTTCAGTCATTTTGTATTATATACAAACGGGAAATTGATGCCCCAACACCCGATTGGGCTGTCAATTTCCCGTGCGTAATACAAAATGACTAAAAAACGGCACACTTCGCAGGGCTATATTATCTGCATTTTACAACATTTCGCAACGAAACTTTGGAATACTACTAATTTTGTGACGCTCTTTCAAGCTGTGATGAAATTTTTGTCTAGATCAAAATTTAGTCTATAATGCAAATGATCCATTGACAATGGTCTGCGCGGGTTAGTGAGTTACTGCAGTAATAATATACATGAAAAAATTCTCAATTCTGATTGGCTAAGAGCAGTGCAATTTTTTCGAAATAAAGTGCCAAAAAAGGAAATACAGTGCAAAAAAGAAATGCAGTACAAATTTCTTAATTTTTTTAATTATCTTAATTTGTATTTTTCAAATTTTAAGAAATTTGAAAAATATTCTCATGTATATTATTAATAAGTAATAGTATGATTGCTCGTCCAACTTGAAAAAACATACACTCGTGAGTTTGCCAAAGACTTCAAATTGCATACGTCCTTCTGACTGGTGCAATTTTGATAGTCTTTCAACAACTCACTCGTGTATGTTTTTTTCCAAATTGCACTCGAAATCATACTATTATCTACACTAATTGATTGAATTGCCACTAACCCCAAATATGATTTTTTGTATGTGTAATAATATATCTTTATACATACCGTATAAGAACTCATCTTGATAAACTTTATCACTGTCAAAATTTCAGGATATGATGGCATTAGATGAATTACTTTTCCTTTGTTTTTTGCTCCAAAAATTCATCAAGTGACATCATATCCGGTAACTTTGATAATGAAAAAGTTGAATAATGTGAGGTTTTTTACTATAAAGATATATTACATTTCTTCTTAGAATAACTCAAATATTATAGACGACCGCGGCCAACTTACAGTCTTACACACTGATGGCATTTTTGTTAGAAGCTGCCAACTGGCATTTTCTAATAGCTTACACATTGGTGACCAAGACTATATATTTTGGAACCTCTGATTTTGGATTTACAGCCGAAAATTTGAGAATTTTGCCTAAGAAAGTACTAAGTTGGTACAAAATGCAAAATTTCAAGTTTACTTTTCACAAAAATAAACTACACCATTAGAAAGATCGCAAAAAGCGTATAAAAGACATTTAAGCGAGTAGTGCGAATTTTCAAGCGAGTAGAGCGGTTCTGAGTTAAAGGAGCTTAAAGTTGGCAAAATAGTGACCGTTAACATCGATCGATTAGTGCATTTTCTTCATCTTTGAGCATTAAAAGCTTAAAATCGG